TACGTGTACGTCGCGCGCACACACACACACACACACACACACACAAATCCTCCTTCACTGTACATATGTACACACACACACACACCCTCCTTCCCTCTGTACAACAACACACACACACACACAACAACACACACTCTCCTTCCCTACGTGTACGTCGCGCGCACACACACACACACACACACACACACACACACACACACACACACACACACCATAGAATCATAGAATCTCAGGGTTGGAAAGGACCTCAGGAGGTCATCTAGTCCCACCCTCTGCTCAAAGCAGGACCAATTCCCAACTAAATCATCCCAACCAGGGCTTTGTCAAGCTGGGCCTTAAAAACCTCTAAGGATGGAGATTCCACCACCTCCCTAGGGAACCCATTCCAGTGCTTCACCACCCTCCTAGTGAAATAGTGTTTCCTAATATTCAACCTAAACCTCCCCCACTGCAACTTGAGACCATTACTCCTTGTTCTGTCATCTGGTACCACTGAGAACAGTCTAGATCCATCCTCTTTGGAACCCCCTTTCAGGTAGTTGAAAGCAGCTATCAAAAAAACCCCTCATTCTTCTCTTCTGCAGACTAAATAACCCCAGTTCCCTCAGCCTCTCCTCATAAGTCATGTGCTCCAGCCCCCTAATCATTTTTGTTGCCCTCTGCTGGACTCTTTCCAGTTGTCCACATCCTTCTTGTAGTGTAGGGCCCAAAACTGGACACAGTACTCCAGGTGAGACCTCACCAATGTCGAATAGAGGGGAATGATCACATCCCTCGATCCACTGGCAATGCCCCTACTTATACAGCCCAAAATGCCATTAGCCTACTTGGCAACGAGGGCACACTGTTGACTCATATCCAGCTTCTCGTCCACTGTAACCCCTAGGTCCTTTTCTGCAGAACTGCTGCCTAGCCATTCGGTCCCTAGTCTGTAGCGGTGCATGGGATTCTTCCATCCTAAGTGCAAGAGTCTGCACTTGTCCTTGTTGAACCTCATCAGGTTTCTTTTGGCCCAATCCTCTAATTTGTCTAGGTCCCTCTGTATCCGATCCCTACCCTCCAGCGTATCTACCAGTCCTCCCAATTTAGTGTCATCTGCAAACTTGCTGAGAGTGCAGTCCACGCCATCCTCCAGAACATTAATGAAGATATTGAACAAAACCGGCCCCAGGACCGACCCCTGGGGCACTCCACTTGATACCGGCTGCCAACTAGACATGGAGCCATTGATCACTACATGTTGAGCCCGATGATCTAGCCAGCTTTCTATCCACCTTATAGTCCATTCATCCAGCCCATACTTCTTTAACTTGCTGGCAAGAATACTGTTGGAGACCGTATCAAAAACTTTGCTAAAGTCAAGGAATAACACGTCCACTGCTTTCCCCTCATCCACAGAACCAGTTATCTCATCATAGAAGGCAATTAGGTTAGTCAGGCATGACTTGCCCTTGGTGAATCCATGCTGACCGTTCCTGATCACTTTCCTCTCCTCTAAGTGCTTCAGAATTGATTCCTTAAGGACCTGCTCCATGATTTTTCCAGTGACTGAGATGAGGCTGACTGGCCTGTAGTTCCCCGGATCCTCCTCCTTCCCTTTTTTAAAGATGGGCACTACATTAGCCTTTTTCCAGTCATCCGGGACCTCCCCCGATTGCCATGAGTTTTCAAGATAATGGCCAATGGCTCCGCCAACTCCTTTAGCACCCTCGGATGCAGCGCATCTGGCCTCATGGACTTGTGCTTGTCCAGCTTTTCTAAATAGTCCCGAACCACCTCTTTCTCCCCAGAGGGCTGGTCACCTCCTCCCCATATTGTGCTGCCCAATGCAGTAGTCTGGGAGCTGACCTTGTTCGTGAAGACAGAGGCAAAAAAAAGCATTGAGTACATTAGCTTTTTCCACATCCTCTGTCACTAGGTTGCCTCCCCCATTCAGTAAGGGGCTCACACTTTCCTATACGTACGTACGTATGTACGTACACACACACACACACACATACTCCTTCCCTATATGTACATATACACACACACCCTCCTTCCCTGTATGTACACACACACACACACACACACACACATCCTCCTTCCCTATAGGTACATATCCTCACACTCCTTCCCTGTGTACGCACACAAACACAAATCCTCCTTCCCTATATGTATGTACACAAATGCACTGCTCCTTCCCTGTACGTACACACACACACACCCTCCATCCCTGTACGTATGTATACCGACACACTCTTTCCTTCCCTGTCTACGCACACACATGCACACACACTCCCTGTGTATGTACACATGTACACGCTCACTGCTTACGCACCCCCACCCACCACATGTCATACACCCAACACACACAGCTATAAACACCATAAATACACTCCTGCACACGTACCCAACCGCACTCCATATACACTTCTCAGACAGGTACACCCTCCATGTCCCATCCAGACACATCCATGCCATCCCCACACAATCATATAGTACAACCCCTCCCCCAATTTACCCATCAAATACCACATCGGATACACACAAGCCATGCACACATCATAGTCACACACACACGCCCCATCCCTGACACACACAGACAACACACCATACACACAGCCCCGTACCCGGTTGCTGCGTCACACCCAGACCTAGGCACAATGACACAGTCACAGCATTGGCTGAGGGGCGGTGTGGTGCAGGGGCCGCAGTCTTTTTCCGAGGAGTCTCCTGCTGCCCTCTCACGGGAGGGAGGGACAGAGCTGCCGCTCCAGACTCCACACTGGGGAGTGCACCCTGCTCTGCCTGGCCTCCAGCCCCTTCTCCAGGGGACAGAAATAGAGTGTGGGGTGCTGCACGCTACCCCTCCATTCGCCCCCTCTCCCCAGCTTCAGCTGCCTTCCCTCTGGGGACAGCCCCGGTGCTGCCTACCGCAATGGCTCTGCCCTGGCTGAAGTAGACTCGCGGAAAGGACGAAGGGCAGGTCCCCTACCCCAACAGTAGCGGGGTTGGAACCTGCTCTTGTCTTGCTCACGCAGGCGGCGTCCAACCCCCAGCCGGACCAGCAGGAAAGCTGCAGGGTGTTAGTGAGCCTGGCTTAGCGCATCCACATCGCACGGTCCCGCCCCGGTTCTGAGCTCAGCCGCACCAAGCTGGGTTAGAGCAAAGCCAGGGGCGTGAGCAGCCGTCTGAGACGTGTGTGCAGCCTGCGGGCGCCTTGCCCTTTGCCCGAGGTGTCCCCGATCATCCTGAGGGAGCCGCGTCACTGCCAAGCCAGGGCAGGCAGAGAGCGAGCCAATGGGCCAGCCACCACCACATGTGGAAACTCAGCACAGCGCCAAGCCTGGCTGCCCTAAAGGGGGTTCAGGGACAGCTCTGCAACACGGGCCTCGTGCTGCGGACGTGCACGGCCCTTGGCACGCGTTGCACACCTACCATGCCCAAGCATTCCAAGCACTAGAGCCGCCTGTTCGGTGCTACAGACCGAGGGCTTCTGGCTTTCACACTTCAGACTTGAAAAATGAGAGGGCGGGTAACTAGTGGCAAATAAACTGAGTGGAGGGCAAGCCCAGCTTCCCAGGGGCTGCTCCTGCTGCCAGCAGCCCCATGGCAAGCTGCTGATGGGCGGGGAAGAGAGCAGGAGCTGTGCTGGATCGCAATACCGGGCACCACTGGAATTCCATGCCGAGAGTTGCCTAAGCCATCTCATCCCTCCCTGCTGCTGGCTTTTCTGAGTCCTTTGCAGCTCCATGCTAAAGGCAGGATGCCTGTGGCATGGGTCACTCTGAATATTTCAGGGCATGTCACGGTGAAGTGTGGATACTCTCCAGAAAATGTCATTCCAGGGCTCCAGGCTTCCCGTCTCTCCCTGATGCAGACAGAAAGTGCTCGGCTTAACAGTAAAAAGATGTTTCTTGTCTACACCCAAATTTGCACTGGGGTAGTTAAACCAGTGCAAACCCGTGTGTACCCTCTTATTCCGGTTTAATGGCGGTTTATTTAGGTTAGACTTAAACTTGTTTCTAGGTGACTTCTGCTAACTAGAAATAAGCCTGGTTCCAACCAAAACAAGGGCGTCCGCACAGCCCTTGGCACCTACGTCACTTTAAAATTATCCCCGAGGCCAACACGGAGCAGCTGCCCTATCGCCCTGCCCTGCCGAGTCAGCCTGGGCTGGGACTCGGCTCGGCCGTGTCCCCAGCAATACAAGCTGCCCGTGGCTGGGGGGCGTCTCTCTCAGAGCTGGGCTGGCTCTGCAGGCCCAGGACCAACGGCTCGTGTCTGTCACTAAGGTGAGCAGGTCGGCCTGGGGCACACAGGCCACGTTTTCTGACCATAATGCAAGTGTGATTCTGTCTATTTCCCCTCCCACGGCCCCTGGGATTGTATGGCAGTGGTTTCTCCCCAAATCTCCTTATTGCTGGGGCTTCCAAACAGCTTGTTCAGCCAGCTGGCACGAGAGGCACCGGGCTGAAGAGACTGCACAGAAATCTGCCCCGTTATCCCGTATGGATTCACTGCCATGCTGAGATCTTCCACCTCCTCGTGCTGGACAACCGCTCCCGAGTGGGAACCGGGTCAATGTGAATTAAAGCCATGTCCCCACCTCATCTGCATTAACCCTCGCTGTGCCCCACGAGGCGGTTGGCGAATGTTGCCCCTCTGACAGATGGGGAACCTCAGGCACCGACCAGCGGGCGCAGCTTGCCCTGGATTACTTGGCAAATCGGAGGCAGAGGTGGGATTAGAAGCCAGGAGTCTCGGGGTCCCCGTGCTCTACCCACTACACCCCGCTGCTTCGCTCAGGAGGCTTGAGCATATGTGATCTGACATGGATCTCCAAAGTGGCGCCTTTCCCTTTCTTTTTAAAGGGGTGTGTAGAATCCAGAGGGCATTCTCAGCCATCGCGCCATGGCCCCCTTACCTGACTGGTGATGTCAGATGGCATCGGCGACGGAGGCTTGGAGTACGTGGCATCCTGGGAGATGAAGCCAGAGTCATGGGAGGAGACGCTGGACAGGCGGGTGTTGGCGTTAACCGGCTGCGCCAGGCTGCGGTAGCGATAGGTGGAACCTGGTGAGTATGTTTGGGACCCGCCGGACCAAGCGGCACCACCCTTTGTACTGTTAACACTGCTGGGGGGCGGTGGGGAGGAGGGATGAGAGGGAGGAGGGGTGGCAATCAGGAGAGAGATGCATGTTATCAGGGTGAGAGGGGTTACGAGGAGGGCAAAGGAAGGAAAAGACAGTTTCAGACAAAGGTCCGCCACACAGATTTATACACGACAGGACTAGAGTTACAGACCGGGGGGGCGGGAGGGGCGGGAGGGAGGAGGAGGGGCAGGAAGGGGGGTGCACTCCTGCATTTCCGTCTCTGGGGAAGGCCCAGTTTCTGCCCCCATGCAGCATGCACCCTCCAGCACACACTCATTTTGCGGGTCCCCCCGTCCCACTGGCCCCTCTCTAGCCCTGGCTGCACCGAAGCACATTCCGGGGCATAGGGGAAGAGCCAGCAATGGAGGTGCTACGGAAGGCCAGAGGTTCAGTTCAGATGTGCACCCACAACAGTCCGGGAGCTGTTTGTCCCTAGATCTCACAGCACCGCCCCAGGGGAGCCTAGATCTGCTCTAGGAATTATTTCGGGGAAGTTCTGTGCACTGTGCTCTAAAGGAGGCCAGAACAGGTGAGCACAAAGGTCACTTCTGGCCTTAGAATCTATGAATGACAAGGTGGGTCGGTATCGTTACCCCCACGCTTACAGATGGGGAAACTGAGGCAGAGGGACACACCCATGGCTGAAGACTCTCTTAAAGCACATGCAAAGTATTTGTGCAGGGGTGCTATGGGCCTAGGAGACTTCATCTCCTCCTCAGCAACCCGTGAGCACTCCCTTAGTGTGTGCTGGTGCCTGGGAGAGCTGGTGCTTCTGTGATCATAGAATATCAGGGTTGGAAGGGACCTCAGGAGGTCATCTAGTCCAACCCCCTCCTCAAAGCAGGACCAATCCCCAAATCCCTAAATCGCCCCCTCAAGGATTGAACTCACAACCCTGAGTTTAGCAGGCCAATGCTCAAACCACTGAGCTATCCCTCCCCCGCTGGGCTCCACTCCAGTACATGACCAGCACTGGCCCCAAAAGCTGCAGGATCGGGGATCACCGCTGGCAAGCCTCTCACACTCGCCTCTCTACATTTTGCAGCGCCACAGGGAAAATCCTGCAGCCACGTCAGACACGTTTTAAAATGCAGGTTTTCATTGCGTTAAGTATAAGATGAGTAAGACGTTGCGTGTCCGGGAGCCCTGGGGAGGCTGACTGGGAATTCAGTTCCATTTATTGTAGGCTGCCCCCATATTTGCAGGTTTCCCCCTGGCACAGGGGCCAGGGCCAGCTGATGGGGCCGGTTCACACCTGGCAGAGCTATCGCTTCAGGCTGTCAGCAAACAGCTCTGAATGGGTGACACTTCGGTCATGTTTTCAAGCTTTTCTTTGCAACCACAGGGCTAGAAACAGTCACTTTTAAGAAAGCTGAGATTCTGGATCCCAATCTGCTGGCAAAGGGTGAATTCCAGGGAAATTCCTAGCCCAGAGAATGGTGGAATACGTGGGGCCTGACCCTAGTACTTCTGATAATGGCTCCAAGCCTAGGGACTTTTCAGGTGTGTGAGTCGGGTCCAATCACACGCTCCAGGAGGGAGAGAAGAGATGGACAGTTCAATTAACTTTGTAACCATTCTGTGACCCCATGTGTTCCACAAATCCTCCCTCCACATTAAGCATTACTGAGTAGTAAGATTCTCACGTAAGCAACTCCTCTGGGGTCACACAAGCATGGTCTGGGCCCGAAAAGCAGGACTGTGAAAAGCAGTTCATCTGATGGAGGATTAAGCCCCATGCCACAGATACTGATCTATGCGAACCCTCAGTGCAAAGCTTTAATGATCAATTAACATCTGATCCACAGGGAGTCTTGGGGACACGTCTCCAGTGCCTGAGGAGCTGAGCTCAGGCCAGGTATTCGGCGTTACCAGCTGAGCACTCACACACTTATACAATGAGGTTGTAGGTATTAAAGCAGAAACTCCTTCACCCCAATCCCAAGCGTGTTTGTGAGGTCCCCTGCTACAGTCCGTACATACCTGCACATGCTGGACTTGCGGGAGCCAGAGCTGCTGGGGGAGGATGGAGGAGTCTGGTAGGACCAGCTGTAGTCAGAGCCTTTCAGGTCTTTGATCACCTGCAGGAGGAAGGAGCCAGGCCACGTTAGCACTGTAACTTATCAGGCGAAGGGGCGACTCACCCACTGTCTGTAAGTACCGTCATGGGGAATAACACTGGGCTCTTCGGCTAGCAGGGAAAGGCCTCACATGATCCAATGACTGGAAGTTGAAACTAGACAAACTGAGCCTGGAAATATGGCATAAAGGTCTAACAGGGAGGGTAATTAGTCATGAGAGCAACTTCCCCAGGGTCACGTGGAGTCTCCATCACTGGCCACTTGTCAGCCCAGATGGGCTGTTTCTCTCAAAGCTCCACTCTGGGAATGACTGTGTGGCCGGCCTCTGGCCCCTTCCATGCAGGAGGTCAGTGTGACACTCTGCATCTCGGGGGAACACCCTGCACCCCATGTTCATCCTTGTAAAATGATTGTGTGGTATCCAATGCAAAGTTGGTCATGTCGGTGGCTTCGGAAGGCTCGTGATGCACTGAGCATTGTTGTTATATTGATGTTATAGGTTGTAATTTCATGTATGTAGTTATGAGGCTGAGAATGTGTCCTCATGGCTTAAAACAGGCCCAGGCAAAACTCTCCAGGAGCAGGGGGCAGTTCACACCTCATCAGGGCATGTATGGGACAAACCCAGCCCAGCCTCAGAAAAGCAGCGTCTAGGGGATAGAAATGTAAAGACTGGGGATGAGATGGCTCTTTTAGCTGATGGCTTTGAACAGACTCCGGCGTCTATTGAGGGCAGGCCCCAGAAAGAGGGTTTAAAACTGGTGGGACGGGAAGATCCCATTTTATCCCTAGCAAGAGGGAGGGTGGCTGGGTACTCACCTCCCCAAAACCATTCCTCTAACCCTCCTCCCAAACCTCCTGTAATTCCACTGATCACCTGAGGAATACATGCCCTGTGCTAGGAGGAAGCAGGTCACCAATAGCTCATGTCAGTTCTGCTGTCCTCACCACAGAACGCCCGCAGGCAATCGAAACCGGTCATATTGGTTTTGTGAGATTAGCCTCTGCAGAACCAGATATGGAGCATGTTAAGGTTGGCATAATTAATGGCAGGGAATGCTTGGGGCAGAGGGATACAGGGGCCCAGATCTCTCTGGTTAAGCAGAGTGTGGTTCCAAAGGCCAGTATGTTGCCTGGCCAAATGGCAGAGACTGTGGGGGTGGGCGAAAGCAGATTCCTCGTACCACTAGCTAAAATCCATGTGGGGTGGGAAGGTTTGGAAAGTATTTTGACTGGGGAGGTAATGGAACACCTCCTAGTTGACCTGCTTCTTGGTAATGATTTTTTCCGTGTAGTTCAGGTTAAAGTATTTGCCTGCAGCAGGAGGGAGTGTTATGTTGGGACTCCCGAGGGAAAGGGGAAGGTCTCAGGAACTGCTGAGAGAATGGGAGAGAGTCTCCTTGATTCTTCTGCAGCAGGGAGAAGCCACATGCTTCCAGGTGGGAGGGTGGTTGAGACCAACTCCTGCATTGCAGCTGGAGGCAACACCACATCAGGAAGGGATGGGGGTGTGATGACTGCCAGGGAGAGAATTGTCACGGTTGTTAGCTGCCAGCAAGCTGCAGCTGAACCAGACACAGACACAGACCCTGCTCTAAGGAGCATAGAGAAACGTGTCCCAGAGAAGAGCCCAGAGAAGGGACAGGGGATCTCAGAGATGGTCAGTGACTAACCCTCTTGCAGTAAACAAAGGGGGCATGTGTGACACGCTGTATCTCGGGGGAACACTCTGCACCCCGTGTTCATCCTTGTAAAATGATTGTGTGGTATCCAATGCAAAGTTGGTCATGTCGGTGTCTTCGGAAGGCTCATGATGCACTGAGCATTGTTGTTATAGTGATGTTATAGATTGTAATTTCATGTATGTAGTTATGAGGCTGAAAATGTGTCCTCATGGCTTAAAACCAGGCAAAACTCTCCAGAAGCAGAGGGTCAGTTCACACTTCATCAGGGCATGTATGGGACAAACCCAGCCCAGCCTCACAGGAACAAAGGACACTAGCCTAGACAGCAACAAAGGATCTGTTGGACTCTCGAGGGAGTCACCCCCCTTCCTCTGGTCAGTTTGGGACTGCGATGAGGTAATGCTCACCTGACCCGGGGCGGGGGGGGCAAAGACAAGAGGGAAGAAAGGACATGATTAAAGGGAGAGACATTTGCCAGGCTCTTCCTCTCTCTTCCACCTCCATCTACAGACACCACCACCACCAAGCGACTGAAGCGCTGATCAAAGGGGAGAGCCTGGCTGAAGGGCAACCAGGCAGCCTGTGGTGAGAAGCATCTAAGTTTGTATGGGCATTGAAAGTGTTAAGATCAGCTTAGAATGTGTTTTGCTTTTATTTCATTTGACCAAATCTGACTTGTTGTGCTTTGACTTATAATCACTTAAAATCTATCTTTTGTGGTTAATAATAATGTGTTTATTCTACCTGAAGCAGTGCGTTTGGTTTGAAGTGTGTCAGAGACTCCCCTTGGGATAACAAGCCTGGTACATATCAATTTCTTTGTTAAATTGACGAGCTCATATAAGCTTGCAGTGTCCAGCATCCATAACTGGACACTGCAAGATGGAGGTTCCTAGGATTGTGTCTGGGACTGGAGCTATTGGCTAGTGTCATTCGGTTGCACAAGCCAAGCAGCGGCTGTCCAAAAGAGCTCACTCACGTAGCTGGGAGCAGCTGACATGGCAGAGGCTGAGGGTGACCAGCCCAGGAGTGGGGGTCTCACAGCAGAGCAGGGTAAGGCTGGCTCCCAGAGTCAAGGATTGGAGTGACCTAGCAGATCACCAGTCCAGATAACACCAGGGGAACGTCACAGTCAGGCTAAGTCAGTGGTTCCCAAACTGGGGTTCATGAAATGTATCAGGGGGTTCTCCGAAAAAATTCTGTCATGGCGGACAGAGCCGTCCCTAGGAACCCCAGATGCGGGGGCTGGCAGCCCGAGCCCCGTGACCATGACTTCCTGGCAGAACAGGTTTAAGCTTTGTTGTAGTTGTGCGTTGTTTTCCTGGACTGCTCAAGACCCGAATGCTTGTGGGAGGAACTCTTTAATTGAGTTGGTGTCTTAAATACCTTCCTGCTGTTTCACGTCTGGTACTCCTTGATGAAACATGTAAGAGGCTTAATCGACGTGATATGAGCTACAAAATGAAATCTTAGAAGAGTATTGCCATTTTCATAATGTAATAAAATTAATACTGTATTGATAAATAATAATGTAATAATAAATAGTGTGTAATAAGCGTGTAAAAAAATTATTTCCAAGATCACTGCTTCTATAATTTATGCTCAGATAAGGGAGAAAATCCCTGGAAATAGTCATTTTTAGGAGGGGGTTTGCGAGATTTGATATTTTTGTGAAAGGGGTTCGCGGGTTGTTAAAGTTTGGGAACTACTGGGCTAGGTGATTGCAATGGTCCCTTCTGGTCTTGGCATCTATGAATCGATGAAACTGCTGATTTATAACTAAGTGCTTCTGTTCCCCTCCCCTCCCTCCAGCAAGACCCTCGATGGACATCTGGGTTAGCGCTGTCAGGGCCGGCTGCTCTCTGCTGCCAGTGGACACGCTGCTGTCTCTCCTCCCGGAAATATTCCCCCCCGAACATTCCCATCCCCCACCCATGCACTCCCTCCCCCGCCCCAGTCCCTGTGCCCCTCACCTGCTCGCTGGCAGGGGGCAGTTTGTGCGGTTCTGCGGTCAGCACCACCAGGTCCTCCATGATGCCCTGCAGGTGAGTGATCTCTCCCAGCATGGTGATCTCTCCAGTCTGAGCAGCAGGAGGAGGAAGCATCAGCAGTCGGTGCCGTGGGAACCAGGGCTTTCCCCTTCCCTTCCTGCCCTGCTTGGCTTCCTCCAAGTCAGCAGTGGCTTATGGGGCGTGTGTGAAACCCGCTCTGCCTGCCAGCTGGCTGGCCCTGACTGTTCTGCCAGCCCCCCAAGCAGAACGCCTGCAAGACCCAGCATCAGAGAGGTGGGGCAGCCAGAGGAGCTCATCAGCCCCTACTTGGCAAACCCCCAGCGAAGTAGAGAGAATCCGGATCCCAGCCCCACTCCACAAAGCCAAGGGAGGGGCGTTGATTTACATCAGTGGGGGATTTAACTGGAACCAGCCCCTGAGTGAAGTGGGACCAGGTGGGAGAAGCAGGAGCACTGAAGGAGCCTGGCGAATTCCCAGCCATTCCATGGAGCAACTGTCCTTTCCCCTGCCACAAGAACCCTCCTGGCAGCACAGCTCCATGAGATCCTCAACCTGGTTCCCTGTGACCTTCACCCCGGGGAGGGACTAATGTCAACCCCTCCTTGGCATTTCGCCTCGGAGCTCTGCAGCCGGGGACGGAGTTCTAGCCATCAGTCACCATACATCCCACACAGCCAGAACGTACTGTGTGTTCTAACCCGTTGCATGGGACAATAAAACTGATCAGTATCAGCCACTGCCATGCGTGGTTCCTGGCAATCGGAGAAAGGCCAGCACCTTTCAGATACGTACTGGGAGGGCACGTCTATCACCCACCGTGGAAATGCAGCCAGCTCGGGGGGAGAACAATGCCAGCAGCTGCCGTAATGGGGCCGGCAGCACCGTGCAGCAGCATAGGGACAAGAAGGGAAAAGAAGAACATGTCTGGTTCACGCTAAAGGCCCTGGGGAATTCTAGAGGGCAGGTTGTAACTAACTTCCCTATTCTTGTGAAACGTCTCCTAGCATCTTTAATGCCCCCCCCCCATCCCAATTTTTCACACGTGCTAGCTGGACACCCTAACCTTAGCTCACACCTCCCAACGGTCCCAGCTTTCACGGGACTCTCCCACTTTGACCCCCAAAGACCCTATCCTGGTTGAAGGGCAGTTTTCCCTGAGACCCCCATTTGAGGGTCCCCCCTAAACTGAGCAGCGCAGAGGGTCTGGCTTGGCTGCCTCTCCATCTCCCTCTACGGAGGGCAGGACAGGCCAAACCTGTGTGGCACCACATCCTGTTGGGAGGGATGCCATAGAGACACAGAAGCCTGCCTCCTCGCGCCTCTAGGATGAGGCTGCAGGTTCCTCCACGCTTGCGAGAGGGTTTGTTGCTGGGGAGACGGTTGGGGGCAGTGGGGAAGTGGCTGTCGGGGGATCCAGAGCAGGAGCTGGTTGGCTTCTGGCTTGCTTGGCTGGTTGATTTGAAAACCAGCCCGCTGAGCTCTAACACACCCCTCCCCAGAAGGGCCTGGGGCAGCGGCACTTACCACCACTGGCTGCAAGAAGGTGATGAAGGTGCAGAAGCGGCCCCGCTCCTCAATGAGGGCCTTGCGGACAGCCTGCTTCTCAGTCTCTTCCATAAGGAGGTACATGTCATTGACGTCTTGGAGAGCACTGTCCAACTGGGGCTGTAGGTCCCCCTTCCCTGCAAGGAGACAAGGACACGGAGACATCATCCCCTCTCCACTCACTGGTCCCGAACCTGCTGCCTTCCAGAGACTGTCCCTCTTCCATGATCTGCTGCTGTGAAACTGAGGCAGGCAGTGGGGGACGTCAGCCCTTGGGCAAAACACTGCAGAATTTCCCCCGAGCAGCCGCCAGCACAGCATCTCGCAGAGCGTTTAGGGCGACTGCTACTGGATTGCTGACGATTACAGCCTATGAGCTCCCCCGCGGCAGGCGGCCGCCATGCAGTCCCAGGCCCGCTGAACCCCCAGCGCCAGGTCACTTGTGGGAAAGTCCCTCGAGGACCGGAAAGTAACGTAACTCCAACAAGCCTCCTGCCAGCATGTCAAGGGCTCTCCTGAGACACAGCCTGCTGTGAGAACCCCCTCTGGTGGGATGCTCTGGGCTCCCTGAGGGATGCCACGTCTGGCCACATAAGGGGAATCGGCACAGAAAAAAGCCAGTGGCTGGCTTTGCTCAGGATCCCCATGGGGCAATACAGCTCTGGAGTCCTTCCCGAGGCCTACGGAGGAGGCCTTCTGCCCAAACCACGAGGCTGCGGGTTAGCTCCAGGGCTAATCGTCCACCACAACAGACACGACAGGCCAAGTGCCATCTGCCCCAGGGAAGGACGTCGCTCAGCCTGTTCCTAGCTACAGTGCTATAAAAGACCCGCAGGACAGGGAGAGGTGCTCTCTCCATCTGCTGGGTTCAGAGAGCTCCAGTCTCCGTGGGCCCCTCCACTGGCTTCTTTCTGTTGTGGATTCCACAGCAGAGGCAGCGGCTGACTAGAATCCCAGCTGCCTTCGCCAGCTCAGCGCTCTGACCCTCTCTCTGTGTGGGCCCCGGCAGGGGTCAGTCGAGCTGACCCAGAGGCTGGGTCATGCGGCAGAAAGCCCCATCCTCACCTGGGTGGTCTGGCCTCCACGTCAGGCTCCAGCCCTACCCAACCAACCCAGGGGTTTTGCTTCAGGATGGCAGATGCAGAGCCCTGCTTTGTCCAGCTGGACATCGCACCTGGCCCAGTATCATAACCTGGCACGCTGGCTCTCCTCCCAGCCCCCACCCCAACCCTCCCCAGTCCATGTCAGTTTCACACTCACCTTGCAGGAGTTTCCCTTGCTGGATCCCTCCCCATCCCCCCCAACATCACATTTAACAACATGGGTCTAAATTCATCCCTGGGGCAGCCCCACCAAAGCCCTGGAGTTGCACCGGGGAGGAATTTGCTCGTCTTGTGGCTGGAGGAAGGCACAAGCCAGTGGACTATGGAGAACTGAGAGGTTTGGGTGAATCAGTTCGTCCAACGGGGGCAGAATGTGACCCATGCAGTGGGCGCAGGAGTGCTCAGGCGTTAGTCCAGGGTGGGAAGATAAAACACACATGCATGGACAGAGCAAGCAAAGGGAAGAGGAGCCGAGGAGTGAGCGCTTTAGGTTGGCGGGGCCCCCAGCTTCCCTGCTTAGGGGCCACGGTGCCACCTGCATGAAACAGAGCAGATGGCATCTCCCCCAGCTTCACTCTGTCGGGGCAGCCTGTGGAAATGACTGATCCCAGCTCAAAGGCCTGATCCAAGCAGGCCAGGCTGAGCACTGGACGTGGGGCTCCCTCCTGCGCATGGGATCCCCCAGTCCCCGATGTGAGGGGGCCCAGGGCGGCGTTGGGGACATGAGGATATGAACTCCATGGAGTTCCAACAAGCCACCGCCCCCCAGCGATTCCCGTGCAGAGAAGGTAAAGCCGAACGACCGAGAGGCTTGGCAGGCAGAAAGGCCAGGGGAACGGAGGAGAAAGGTGGTGACACGAGGAGTTCCCAGGATGACTGTCAAGAGGCTAATCAGGCCAGGAGGTGGAGAGACCCAAACTTGCGGTGGGTGAGTTCTGAGACCGCGCTGCACAAAGGGGTACCAGGCAGCAGGCAGAGTGCCAGAGAGGGCTGCCTGGGCACAGGAGAGAGGGTCCGAATCAGCCCCCCGGCCCAGTCTGTGGCAGTTTGGAATCTGGACCTGGATCCCAGTCTGAATTTCCTATCTGACCAGCCCCAAAGTCCAGAGCCAAGCCGCGGGAACGTGGGCACAATGGCCAGAGTGAAGAGCTGGCCTGGGCAGTGGGAGTGGGGATCCCGGAACAGACCCCTGGCTGGGAGTTCTCTGACACACAACGGTTCAGAGACAGGCCAGCGGGAGGGACTCACAAGCCAGTCCAGCTGGTACAAGCAGCACAGGTCAGGTGTCACTGGAAGGGTTACTCTGGGAAAACTCCTGCCTCCTAGACATCAAAAGCCCAGCGAGGGTGGGAGGAGGCAGCAATCAGAGACCCTGCTAGTGGGCAGCAGGCACCAGGGACAGAGCCAGATGGGAGCTGGAGTGCAGAGCAAGGGGAAATGGCTTCCCACAGGCCCAACTGGGGCTGGAAATCCGTGTCCCTCTCCAGGAGGGATCTGGGCCTCCGGCAGGGAAATCTCAGCATTCACCACATGGCTTACAGCATGCGAACCCTGAAGGAACAGGGCAGAGAGAGAGAGAGGAGAAAGCCGGGGCGGGAGGGCTTGATATGAAACCCATGCTTGCTGGGTGTAGATGGGAGCTCTGACCCCTAGAGGGGCTGCCATAGCCTCGTGTTTCCAATGCGCCACAGGGACGTCAGGCCTGCTCAGCTGGCAGAGGGACGTACCCGTGGATGGGGCTGTAGCCAGCACAGGGGGCAGGACTCCAGAGGCTGGGGCATGCGGGGCACCTTGCTCTCTGTGAGTGCTGTTCCTCGCCTGCACACGAGCGGGGCACTTCCTCCCCGCAGCCTTTGGGGGTGGAGACGGGGATTCCCCGAGATCTCCCAGCTCTCAGCTAGAACCCAGGCATGGCACCATTGCAGCTGACAGCACATGGGGGGCAGAACAAGCTCAGCACGGTGGAGGTGCCACAGGACAGAAGGGGCCACCCCGCTGCCCGGGAACCAGAGCTGAACGCCTGGGCCACCCCCTGGACCAGACTCTGGAGCAAGCGCACGGCACGTGCCTTGCTGCAGCCACCCATATGGGGCGAAGCTAGCCTGGCCTGGAGCTCCATGCCCACCCACAGCGAGGGGGCACCGGCCCAGAAAGGCAGGCAGGCAGGGAAGGGTATGGCAGCTTCCTGGACCAGTGCAGTCTGTCTCGGGTTAGTTTCATTTTGAGCTCAGCCAGAGGGGAGACAGAGATAAATGAAGCGCAGGTCACAAGGGAGGGCTGGGGGAGCAGGATGGAGCTGGCTCGCACCGATTGACTTACCAAGTAGCTCTACAGGAGGAAGGATGTGGAAGGGAGGAAAGAGGAGAGAGAGAGAGACAGAGAAAGAATGTGTGAAAGACAGGCTGATGTACGGACACTCTGCCCCGTCCACCCCCCCAGGGCCGGCAGGTCAGTCACCCTCTTCCCACACATGGCTCAGACACATGCGGGCCCCCTGCATGCCCCCATCCTGCGCGTGTGTGGGGGGTGTTAACTCCTTGTGTGTTGGGTTGGAGCGTGAGGAATTGAAGGGAGCTGGGGGGAGTGGCTGGACTGTGTGATCCACTCCCACCCCTGGGTGCCTGGGGATAAGGGCAGCCGGACAAAGGGAGGGTTCCCTGCAGGGAGCCTTTGGAGAGGGTACTTTAGGGGCACTGTTTGTTCTTATCATTGCAGTAAGGCCACAGGTCCCAACTGGGGGTCGGCGCCCCACGGGGTCCCCGTCTCCAACGAGCCTGCGTACCACTGATCTGCTATCGAACCTTGTGCTGAGCAATGCTCTGTCGTGCCCAAAATTCTTCTGACAACGTCCTCATGCCATGCCCTGCGAGTGCCTGGCTGGGATTCCCCAGCCTGAACTTCCTCACAAGCAGTGCTGATCGGTGCCAGCCAGATCCCCAGCGCCTGAGCCGCCTCCGCTCCCTGCCCTTCTCGGCCCACCTGGAACCCTCCCAGCGCGGCCTACTTCGTTTGCGACTGCTCCCCACGGCCATCTGCACCGCAGGAGTCCTCGGATGGGATCCAGGGGCAGAGACTGCTGGGGTCATGGCCACAGGGCGCGGTGAATGCAGCAGGCTTGTTCACCCACTGAACCTTGTCACTGAGCCCCACAAACCCCGCAAGATGGATCCCCACTGTCAGCATCAAAGCCATCTTCCCAACACCTAGCGGTGAAGAACTAGGCTGGTCTGCTACCCTCTGCCCCAGGAGCACAAATGGCGGCAGCATTTGTTAATTAAACCTTCCCACTGCCCTGTGAGCTACAACAGAATGCAGCCAACTCTGGGGCGGAGCAGACTGGCTGCTTCACAGCACACATACCGTGACCCTGGGGGCAGGAGGGGGAAGAAGAATCCTGGTCCCAGCTCAAGCTGCGGAGGGAACCGAGGGAGGCAGAGCTGGAACCTGTCTAGCAGGACGAGGAGCTCGTTTGTACGCTCAACCCTGAGCCAGGATGCCCAGGTGGCACTGGGGTCTCTGTCCTGCCTTGGAGGGGAGACTGTGAACAGGGGTCCTGACTACTTCCTCCCCATCAGAGCCCCCAGCCTCAGGGAAGGTCTCAAGTCGAAGGCAGCACAGTGACCCCTAGAGCCATGGGGCACCAGGGCCTCTCCAGCCACACCTGACCCAGCCCAGCCTTGCTTGGGTGTGAAAGCAGATGAGACCCCCCACAAGGGGGCAGGCCCATAGCTCATGGGGGGGCAAGCTGCCCTCCCTGGCATGGGCGCTGGGGGGTCAGGCAGGGCTCTTACCTTTGCGGGCCTTCTTCTGCAGCTTCAGCGTGTCAGAGGATTTCTTCTTTATCTCGTGGCGGGCTCGCTTGTACTCTGAGGACACAGAACAGACCAGGAGATGTGTCATGGCCGCCAGGTGGGGACACCGGCCCCCTCCGCCCAGCCGGCCCATGATTCCTCCTGCCCCGACCCAGGACACTCCCCTAACCTGCCTCTCCCAGGCACAGAGTGGGGTCCCCCCTCCCCTCCCAGGCACGGCGTGGTTCCCCCCTCTCCCCTCCCAGGCACGGCGTGGTCCCCCTCCCGCCCCTCCACTGCCCTCCCCTCCCAGGCATGATGTGGTCCCCCCTCGCCCCTCCCCTCCCAGGCACGGCGTGGTCCCCCCTCGCCCCTCCCGTCCCAGGCACGGCGTAGTCCCCCCTCCCCCTGTTGCTACATGGGCCCCACCTCGAGCTCCTCCCCCCATTGCAGCATAGTTCCCCCCATGCCCCTCCCCTCCAGTCTGGTCCCCCTGAAGCTCTCCTCCCAGGGTGCAGTCTGTCTCCCGCCACGGCCGGCCTTGCGCAGGGAGGCACTGTGCTCAGTGGAGGGTATGACACATTGCCCCACGGCCCCCACCTCCCTGAGCACAGGACATTCCCCGCCTGTTACTGCAGCTTCCTGCCCCCGCCCCCATCCTCAGATAGACAGCGAGCCCCTCCCCCGGGTACCGGCATTAGGGATGTAAATACCGTTTTAAAAGTTAACCGTTTAAACGATTAAAATAGGTCATTTAAACGGCTAACTGGTTCAATGGCTGAGGCTGATCTGCCAGGGCCGGTGCAGCTGAGCCCGCTCTGGCTGGCGACCCCGGGGTTAACGGTTAAGGGGGGTTACCCTTTTACATCCCTAACAGGCATCCCCCCCACTTCCTGTTCAGGGCTCTGCTGCCCCCTCTGCTCCCTCAGGCACCGCACGTTCTCCCCCAACCCCTAGGGACAGCGGCCCCCGGTGGATAGGGCGTGCCCCTCCCCCTGGGCACAGTGCATCCCCCCCCCCAGTGGATAGGGCGTGCCCCTCCCCCTGGGCACAGTGCATCCCCCCCAGTGGATAGGGCGTGCCCCTCCCCCAGGGCACAGTGCATCCCCCCCAGTGGATAGGGCGTGCCCCCTCCCCCCCGGGCACGGTGCACCCCCCTGGTGGATACGGCGTGCCCCCCACTATCCCCTGGAGAATAGCCAATCCCCCCGCCTGTCACCTGGGCTTTACCTTTCGCATGGTCCTTGTCCAGTTGGTTGGCCGTTTTCTTCCAGTCCTCAATCCTGTCCTGCAGGGGGTTGACGAGACTCTCCATCAGGGCGCTGCGCCAAGGAGACACCAGAGCGAGCCCGGTTAAAGAGGCCGCTGGGAACCAGGTGGCTAAAATACCTTTGCAGACCCGGGCGCTGGCCTTGCAGTGCTGAGCAGGGCAGCCCCTAAATACCTTTATAGATGGGGCCCAAGTCACCTCAGAAATGCGGAGCTCCCAGCTGCACCCAAGGACTGTACTGGGGGCTCAGCACCGCCCTGGATCAGGCCCTGGGCGGGACAAAGCTCTCTGGGTGCCTGTCGCAGTGTGAAGAGACTTACTGCCACTTCCTTCATCCTTAGGGCGGGGAGGCTGCGGCTGGGAAACTCGTGTCACCGGTGCCCAGCAGACTTACTTGGTGAACTGCCTCAGCTTGGCCTCGATGCTACGGTGCCGCATGCACATCCGGGTCAGCGCCGAGCCGATGTCTCTCGTGGCTCCTGCAGGGAGAGAAAAGCCTTGTCATCGGAGCATCGTCACTGAACCACAGCGCAGCCCCTTGCACCCGGGCACCAGCCTGGCACTAGGGCTGCAAGCCAGGGTCAGCACGTGCACCCAGGGGAAAATGCTACAGCCACAGTCTGTTCCTGTGGGGAGGGGGCAGCAGAGTCCAGAGCAGGATTTCCATGTGGCTGGCCCAAGTGCAGCACGACCAAGGCAGAGTCTGTATCCGCGAAAAGAACAGGAGTCCTTGTGGCACCTGAGAGACTAACACCTTGATTGGAGCACAAGCTTTCGTGGGCTAAAGCCCACTTCTTCGGATGCATAGAATGGAACATATAGTGAGGAGATATATATACACACATACAGAGAGCATGAAAAGGTGGGAGTTCCCCTACCAACTGGAAGAGGCTAATTAATTAAGATGAGCTATTATCAGCAGGAGAAAAAAAACTTTTGTAGTGATAATCAAGATGGCCCATTTCAGCCAGTTGACAAGAAGGGGTGAGGATACTTAACATGGGGAAATAGATTCCATGTGTGTAATGGCTCAGCCACTCCCAGCCTCTGTTCAAGCCTAAATTGATGGTATTTAGTTCAGCAGTTTCTCCTTGGAGTCTGTTTTTGAAGCTTTTCTGTTGCAAAATTGCCACCTTTAAGTCTGTCACTGACAGGGCCGGCTCCAGGGTTTTGGCCGCCCCAAGCAGCCAAAAAAAAAAAAAAAAAAAA